ATAGGCTACTTTGTCAACATTCGTAATATTGGAATAGAATCCAACTTTATTGTCACTATACTGTCAAAGTAATGTAGTAAAAAAGCAACGAAATGTAGTTTACATCTATCCAGAAATGCTATACAGGATATAAATATTTATTTACATGTGCACAGAGACTAAATATGTATAGACTATAAATGGTGTATATATAAACAGAGAGTTGTAAAATAACTAAGTATGAAAACTATACAGGAAAGTTAGGATATGGATTATTTATATATGTTAGTGCCATTATACTACAGGATAAATAATGACAGATAATAGCAGATAAAAGATTTGCAGATTATATACAGCTATAGTGGAGAAGAACATGTAAGTGGTGTTAGATCCATAGGGTTTTGGGTTGGTGTGATCACAACAACTCCAAAAGTCAGAATCAAAAAAATCTGTTTTGACAAGTAGAATTTTACCTGTATGAGGAATTTGCTTTGATGAGCTGTTAAAAATAGACAAAAATAGAGCTGACATAAATAAATGTGGAAATGTGTGATGTGGAATAAACAAATGCAACTTGTAGAGAAACGTGAAGAGATTAGGAAAAACAACAGTTTAACATTTTGCAGAGAAATAGCAGTATAGCAGATATTGCAACTATATTAACAATATGAAGGTAAATTAAATATTTACGTGTGCAACTTTGAATTATTTGTAAATAACTGGGACTTAAGCGTCATCTTGCCGCAGGAGGAAAACAACAGCCTGAGTAAGATCAACTGGTGAACCAATATTTTTTTTTTTTTTTAAAACAACCTACCAAAAACTGACAACAACTTTCAAATTAAGTTGGTCAGACCTATCTACTGTATTGTACTGTCTGTCTGCTCCATATTTATTCATATCTAACTTAATTTATATCTTTTTGGAGAGATAGGGAAGACATGGAGCAAAGGTACCAAGCTCGGGACTCCAACCTAGGATGATCCTACGCTCTGCCAATGCACCACCACTTTGAACTATAGTAAACTTATCCAAAAAGCTAAACATGTGTTTGGACTGATCCGGAGATGTTTCCTGCCTGTCAACAAGGCGGTACAGAGACAAAACGTCTCATTCTCCAACTATTTCGAGAACCAGTTTAGAACCATGTGATAACTCTGGAGGAGCTGCAGAGGTCAACATCTCAGGTGGGGGAAATGACCTGACCTTTATAAAAGAAAAGCTGGCTCAACTCAAAATGTAAAGGAAACACATTGGCAGATTTTTAAGTTTAGGACTTTAAGTTTTGCTTTTAAGTTTGACAGACTTTAAATTCCATGTTATTTTACCTGAAATGCTGTGTTTTTCTCCCCAACTTATCTGAAAGTAGTGATGACATAGAAAAAGTAATGATTTAACATCCAACCTTAAAGTTCTTTCTAAAAAAAAAACATACTTTCTATTTAGAGCTTAATGTACCTTAATGGGGACAAGTGTCTTCTACATTTTTAAAAACTTTTTTATTTTAGTGACATTAATAGTGTGAGTTTTGAACCTTTGACCTTAACAATTGCTTCAAGGAGAAAAGGCTCTGCTCACTAATGTCTAACCATCCATGGTGATTCCAATTTTTTATTAATGGTAAGTTTAAACCTTAACCAAAACAAGAATTAGATAAGCCCTTTTTAATCACTGTAAAGAACAAAAAATATTACTCTGATTGGCTGCATCCATTTAGCATCCATTTATATTGTTAAAATAACATTGAAAAAACATTAAATCTCTGAAATTAAGTTTTCCTGCATTTCACGACAGGAAGGTGAAAGTTAGCTGAACTTTCACCTTTTGAAATAACCAACAACTTAAAGGAATAGTACACCCAAAACATGATTAGCCTTCATTTTCTACTCACCCCCATGCTGAACAACACTCTGGAGTACTTTTTTGATATCTCAAATGCACCTGGAGATCTGGGAGGCTTCTTGCTGTCTGCTGACATTCAAATAATGGACGTGCCCAGCGCCCGAGGCAGAAAGGTCCATAAAAGTCCACAAAAAACGTGTCAATATTCCTCCATACTGCTCGTCCAATGTATTCCAAGTGTCCTGAGTGGGTAGAGTCCATAATTTACTCGAAACGAAGTCATTTAGAATGTTTTTAGAGCATAAACAGTAGTGTATAGGATTTCCTGAAAGCGCACGCCTGCGAGTTCACGAGTCTACGGAAACCGCGGCAGACCATACCAGATGAAAGTGCGCATTCAGCTCGGCAAAGAACTCATGCTCTTCCTCAACACTGAAGTCCTCAGACATTTTTCTTTCGTTGTTTCTTTCTTTGCACAGGTAAACAGCACATTTCTTCTTCTACGCTTGCATTATTGGCAGAGCAGAGGCTGAATGCGCACTTTCATCTGGTTTGGTCTGCCGGCTTCCGTAGACTCGTGAACGCGCTTTTAGGAAATCCTATACACTACTGTTTATGCTCTAAAAACATTCTAAATGACTTCGTTTCGAGTAAATTATGGACGCTACCCACTCAGGACACTTGGATTACATTGGACGAGCAGTATGGAGGAATATTGACACGTTTTTTGTGGACTTTTATGGACCTTTCTGCCTCGGTCACCATAGACCTCCATTATTTGAATGTCAGCAGACAGCAAGAAGCCTCCCAGATCTCCAGATGCATTTGAGATATCAAAAAAGTACTCCAGAGTGTTGTTCAGCATGGGGGTGAGTAGAAAATGAAGGCTAATCATGTTTTGAGTGTACTATTCCTTTAAAGAGTACTGACATATCACTTAATAAAGTGAAAGAGGGCCATTAACTTGGTTTTCTAAACTGACTTCAATTACTGACCCTATATTTAACACCAGTTTTTCAGGTTTATACAACTTAAACATGTTTTCAGCTGAAAGAAAGAAAGGAAATGGGTTTTGATACAGATGTGTGGAAAAAGGCGCTCTGATCAGATTAGACCACTGGGTTGAATAACCTGATCTGGATACGATGCATTAAAAGTTGAAGCATTATGCTGTGTGGATGCTGTTTTATGAATTGGTGCGGTATATGGTCCATATAAGGCATTTAAACTGTTGCCTGCAAAAATGTTCAAGGTAGTGTTTCTCTACTTTTATCTCATCAGCATTTGTTTAAAATCTTCACTGGTTTCATTTAACTTCAGTTTATATATCTAAATTCTCGCCATCATGTTTGACGTTCCAAGCTTCTGTGTTCTTGATGCTGCAATGCAGTGGCGGTTCTAGACCAAATGTTTCAGGGGGCCAAGGTATTTTTTACATGAAGCAAAAAAACAGGCAGGGGATTCAAATACATGAAGAGAGCTGCATGAAGTGCAATTTCTATTCAATTAGGTTTAATTAAAATTATATGTCTTCCAACTGAAAATATTTATTAAATCAAAATAAAGTTCCCTTTGGATAGCAAAAGAGAAACTCAAAAAATTGTAGCTATATAAATATCTAAAAGGTAAAATAAAGCTATTATTTGGAATAATATGTCAATATACATTCATAGTTTAGGAATTTGATAAATTCAGCTGTAAAAATTTGAGTATTTTTAAAAATTTGTTTTGAAAAAAGACTTAGCAGATGAAATACCACTGTATTGAGACAGTCTCAATACCACTGAAGCTATCACCTTATTGTTTTAAATAATTAGTCAAACAGAATATTTAAAAGAAAAAAAAGGAAATAGATCCGGGGTCTTCAAAGTTTTCCAGGCCAAGGACCTCCAAACTGATGGTGAGATGGAGCGGGGACCCCCTAATTAGGTATATTGGATGAAATAGTGTTATATCAAACTGGTCCTATAGTCACTCTATAACAGATGGAGACATGTAACTAAAGTAATTTCTCCCTGGGATTATTAAAGTATTTCTGATTCGGATTCCTGGTTGATGGGACAGGTGTTGAGAATGAAACGGTGCCCAGCTTGAAAGAGCTCCTGTGTGTCGCTGAATGTGTGCATTGATGACTGAAAGACATCTTCTGCCTCCATTTATCTGTTTACTACAGTGTGTTGAATTCTTCTTAATGTGGATTTAAAGACTTTTCAATTAGTGGAAAAAATTGCAGGGGGGAATATAAATAAAGGTCTAATCAACCAAAACTTTTGCGACCCCCTTGCAGTACCTCCGTGGACCCCCTAGGGGTCACGGACCCCGTGTTGAAGACCTCTGAATCAGTGGTGGTTCTAGACCAAATGTACCAGGGGGCCAGAGTGTTTTCATTTGGGCACAGAAAAGCATGAAATAAAAAACAGGGCAAGGGATTCAAATATATTAAGAGGACTGCATGAAGTTACATTTCTATACAATTAGGTTTAATTAAAATTCTATTTCTTATGAGGTCAATATATGTTCATAATTATAATTCATAATTTTACATAATCTGGACTTAATTTAAGTTAAAATATTTTCTATTAAATCTGAATTAGAACTCAAGAAAAAACTGATAAGTCACTTCTAAAAATTAGAGCAATTTGTTAAAAAAAAAAAAACATTTAGCAGATGAAAACTGGGATCCTATCTCAATTCCACTGAAGCTATCACCTTATTGTTTTTCAATAATTAGTAAAGCAGAATTTTTAAAGAAAAAAAATTAAATAGATCCAAAGGACCTATCAGAAACCATGTCTGTTCAAGCGCATATCATCATTAGAATTTCTTTAGTATTATGCTTTGGTACAGGGGCCATAACAGGGGCCAGGACATGATTTACTGGGGCACCGGCCCCTGTTGGCCACCGTCTAGAACCGCCCATGCTTCAATGCGCGAAATGTTCCACAATCCTTCAAAAGTTTCTCAGGCGGCTCGATCCGCCTTCCAACTACCGAAAGCACACAAAAAAAGCTCCCCATCACCAGCACACCTCCCAACAGACTCACATCGGCGCGCGCGCACAGTAAACAACACCAATAGACAATCACTCATTTAAAAAAAACACGCACGTGAAGGCGCGCGCACATTCCAGCGGGCGGAGTCGGTGACGCGCATTGGGGCCGTTTGTGAATGAGCTGCAGAGCGCAGCGCCTCTGAGGAGCAGTCAGCCAAGCGACAGGAGCAGAGCGCAGAGCGGAGAGCAAAGTTTCCCAAATGGATTTCTTTGGTGCAAGCAGACATTTGTTATTCTCATACGTTCTCATCAACGGGATATTAATAACCTTACAGGCAAATGAAGGTGAGTTTGTTTAAAAAAAAAAAAAAAGCTCAGCTTTCTAAGGAATATTTCTTGTAGCTACTGAAAGGAAGCACGCGTGCCATGCGGGGAGCCTCCTTCAGAGAACTTTAAAAAACAGGAAATATTTGTGTTTAACTTTAACAACACGGATCAAACATTTGACTTAAAGATTCTTATAAAAGTTGTTTGTTTCAGTCTATAACGTGTATATAAATATGTCATATTTCGGTGCGTAACTTTTTATAAATACTGCGACGCGGTTTGTGCGCTACTATAATTTTATAAGAGCAGCAGGTGAAGTTTCTGCTGTAGAGTTCGCAAAACTTTTTATATTTTTTGTTTTTGACAAGTTGCTCCTTTTTATCCTATGATTTTTTTTCTTATTTTAGTAAGTAAGTTAATAAGTTTGTCAATAAGACAGAAAGTTTGCCTTTCCAAGACAGATATTTTGCCTTTCCAAGCAAAATAATGTGTTATATTGTAAAAACAAACAAAAAATATCAATATTTTTTGTTTATTGAACTTATTGCTGTTTCTTCACAGAGGTGCTTTTGGATATGAAGGCAAGAGGAGGAGAGCTGGGCTGGCTGACCTGGCCCCCAAAGCAGGGAGAGACATCTGGGGTGAGTAGAGCTCTTTGCTTCTCCTCTAACTCCCACATTTTCAGTAGGAATTTGCCTCAGGAAAGATCAGCATGGAGAAAATGTGCAGGAAGGGAGTCACAACTGTACCAAGAACATTTTGCATCACTGTCTCACGATTGCTCAATGTGTGTGTTTAAAGCATATGTGAGTGTTTTTATAAAACCTGTTGGTTAAAGCCTGCTTAAGTACAGATAGAAGAGACAGTTTAAGGTAAGGTACCCTATCAAGAACTGCCTCCAGAGCGTGTCTAGGCTGCTCCAAAGCACATATATAGGCGGATAGAATAGCTGCTCCCTCTGAACTGGGAATACTTGTGGCTTCTTGTGGTTTCGAGGCTCCAGCTTCAGAATTGTATGTTAGAGAGCAATTAAGTTTTAAAGTTTGCAGCATGTGGTACCTCTTTGCAGAGAGGAGGAGCCTCAGATGGAGCCAGTCAGCGAGAGCTACCTTTTTCCTTAGAGCAGGGGAAAATGTCTAGATTTAGGGATGAATCTTAAATGCTGCGGTTGTCTCTCTACCATGAGCAGACCAGAGACATGTGTGCCTTCCTCCATCATGTGGTTTTGAAGTAATTGACCAGTATGGCACATGCAGATTCACTGTAAATAGCCTCATTTCAAGTGCTGATGACTCAAAGGCATGTGCAGGCACGCTGCTCAGTGGTTCACTCAACTTTCTCAGAGATGTGTAACAGCTTGAATGATCTCTCGGACACTTTAGTTTCACTTTTTTTTTTTTTTTTTTTACTAATACGTTTCAGATGTTTGCTGCCTTAAAAAAATCTCATAGCTATATGGCAGGTTGTAAAAAAAAAAAAAGTGAGAAAAAAATGTTCCACCGGGTCGTTATAAGAGGTGTACATTCTGCTGTTGTTCATCAAGTTTATATGCAGACCCACACACCCTGCCAGCAAAGCACATTCCTTTAATTAATAACACAGTGGCTGCATACAGAGAGACAACCGCAGCTTCTGCCTCCATGGGGGCCAGTTGTTCCTCTTGAGCCAAGGTTAGAATCTGCTGTCACTTTTTCTCAAACATATTTGTGGGAGAATTCAGTTTGCATGCAGCAATGCTGTCTGGGGAGGATGCCAACATGTGAGAAAGTGAATGGGAAATAATCTTGTCTCTATGCAATGTCAAAAATGCATCATCAACCAAAGTCCTTCAAGTCTGTGATGCATTTAGGCTTAAGGGATTTAGAAAATGGGTGTCCATGTCTAAAAGAAATGCTGCATTGATGTAAAGGTCTGTATTTACTCTTGTGAGGAGCGACGGACTTCTCTGCACTCTCTCTGTTTTTGTTTCCTGGTTCAGATTACAGCGGCCGAACCTTCATGGTTATATGGTCGCTCCTTTATTTAGCTATCCCCTTAGTTTAGGTTTGGTCCCACATGGTTAGAAGCTCTCCAGCTTTCCTACCTCTAACCTTTTTTGGTTTCTGTGGTTCTGTTGCAGTGGGAGGTCACCCAGAAAACCCTGAATGGCACACAGTTTTATGCCTACTCCATATGCAATGTCGGCGAGCGTGAGCAGGACAACTGGCTGCGCACCACCTTCATCCAGAGGCACCCTTCGGTCTCTCGGGTTTTTGTAGAACTCCAATTCATCGTGCGCGACTGCAACTCATTTGATGGTGCCTCATTAATCTGCAAGGAGACCTTTAACCTCTACTCATCAGAGGCGGATGCAGACGTGGGCACGACCTTCCACAAGGTGCAGTTCAAGAAGGTGACCACGATAGCTCCAGATGAAAGAACTAACAAAAACGAAATGCACATCAACACGGAAACGAAAGTTGTGGAAAATTTATCTCAGAAGGGTTTCTACTTGGCCTTCCAAGACATCGGAGCCTGCGTCGCTCTCCTCTCTGTCAGGGTGTACTACAAAACTTGCCCGGCCACAACAAAGAGCCTTGCTTTGTTCCCTGAGACTGTGGCTGGAGGTGAAGGCCAGGGGCTCAAGGAGGTGACTGGGAGGTGCATCGATAATGCTGAAAGTGTGGATTTACCTCGAATATACTGCACTATGGACGGGGAGTGGGTGGTCCCAGTTGGACAGTGCCAGTGTAATCCCGGTTATGAAGAAGTGGAAGATTCTTGTGAAGGTAAGCTCTTTGGTCTTAAAGATTTAAATCAGCACCTCTTTCTTTCAAGGACCCAGACTTCAAATTAACCTTTTATTGTCTTCTTGAGCAAAAGATTTTTAGCCTCTTTGAAAGTCCTTTAAAGTTCTCCTTAGACTTTTTCTTCCTCTCTTTAGCATCCCTGCACAGTGAACAAAAAATAATGAAAGTGCCATTGCTTGATAAATAGTCTGAAAGTTACATGTTTAAAAATTAAATCCAATTAAAGCCTAAGAAAGTAACCAAGCTTCAGTCGGCTATATGGCAGATTTTCAGATGAACTAAAGCTTATTGGTGTCAAACTATCTTATTGGTGTTTTTTTGTTGAGTTCAATTAAAATATTTAAACTGGGCGGGGGTTAGGAAAAGTTTGTTAAACAGACATAAAACAGATGACATTGTCTTTTGTCCTAATGGCACGAAAACATGTTTGAAAAGTGAATCAGTTGGTTTAAAGGTGGTTGGGGTTAACTGAATAGGCTACAAAAACTTGCTTTTCAGTGTAAAGGGGTCAGAATTTCATAATTTTCAATGTATTTTTTTCTAAATTCAATAAAAACATTGATTCACCAACTTAAAAATGTTTGAAAAATTCATTTACATCCAATTTTTGGAAGGTTGGTGATGAATTTGGCCATTGTAATAGCAAATTTATATGCTAAACCATATTTTTGGTTTGAGTTAATAGCTTTTAAGTCAAAATAGTTTATCTATTAGAGATAATAAAAAAAAAACTTCAAAAAGGAATTTAGAGGAAGCAGTCAACGTCCAAAGCAAAGCTTTGAAATCCATTATAGGAAAAAGATCAAGAACTTTTCCTCAAGATCAGCTGGAAAGTTTTCAAGAAAGCCTCTGGAGGAGATATTTAACGACAGGAAGAGCAACTAAGGCTTTGCTCTGTACTGTACCTTATCCTGCCCAGGCAAATGCTAAGTGCTTCCACTTTACAGTGGTTTTTTTAAAAGCTTAGATTATCTTGGTTTTAATTACCCCAGGTTATAAAACAGACCTGTATGACAAATATTTATCCTAGGTGCTATTATCATAGCTTGGTGGAATTCTGCCCTCGGCTAACACAAATTCCCCCCGCTGTGGGAAGAATGCCGAGGCCTTCTTCTACATGTCCTGGCATAATCCCTGACCCGAAACTGAAACAAGGAGGAAAAGTGCATTTAGCTTTCGGCTTTGGCTCCAATTAGCAGTTCACTGTAGCAGCCTTTGGAGGCAAATTTTACAGCCTGGCCTTTGGTGTCACCACACGTATACGAAACACACATGGAAAATTACACAATATGTTAGAGAAGACACAAAAAAAGACACAGAGCATTTAATTTAAATGGTTTTTCATTTTTTTTTTTTTTTTTTGACGTTCAGTTAAGACCCAAATTATTCACAAATCTTGCTCGTTTGGATCTAAAATATATATATTTAACCAATATACAAAAATGATCAGTTAAAAAAAAGGGTTTTAAGATTTTCATTTGAAAAAAAATTAAATTTCAATATAAATATTGTCCTTAATAATTACAAGAAATCATGTGTGGCAATCGAAACCACTTTTATTACATAATCACTGCTTCCATTAGTTTTCTAAAATGATTATTTGGGTTTAAAGGTCACCTCACCATCACATTAATCTTCTTTTCCCTCCTTTACCTTTCAAGGGGATGAATAATTTTGGGCGTAACTGTATTTTATGAAATATATCTATTTTTTCCAGGGTAAATCTTTATAAATTATTCTCTGAAATATGTATCTAGTTTGGATGAGTTATTAGAATAGTTGGGCAGTGAGAAAAGCTTTCAAAAGATAATAGGTAGCTTTATTTCCCCCATTTCAACAACTAATCTCTATAGTTTATGTAAACTCAGATTTAGCATGTATAGTCTGTGGGGTTTTATGCCCCTCATAGCCTTGATCAGCTTATCTCCTATATATCCTGGTTAATGAGTGTCTTACTGTAACATTTGGGCTGCACCTCTCCTAGTTCATAATTTAGAGCTTATTGCATCAGGTGATTTCCTGTCCTCTTATCTGGATATGAGCTGGCACAGCACACCGGCCATAACTCAGGCCTTTGACTTTGTTCTCTTGTCATATTTGTGCTTTAACTCGCTGTAAAGAAGTCCTCTATTGTAGTGAGGGGGAATCAAAGCAGTGAAGGGGGCTACTGTACAGTGATGGATTAGCATCTTCAAGGCGGATGGAAGGAAAGGGGAGGAGGCAGGGGGAAAGCTGCTGAGCCTCACTGACTTTGTTCATAACATGCATCACAGAAAACAGGAGCACCCTACACACACACACACACACACACACACACACACACACCATCGCTCCCCCCTTTGTTTCTCAAACATATCAGAGCTGCAGCTTTGGGGTGTGTGTCTGCATGAGAGCGGCGTGTGAGGGCCTGTGGAGATCCTCTCCGTGACAAAACACACAAAGCCTGCCATCAGCCCGACGTGACGTTCCTCCTTCAGCTTTTTTTGTTTTTGCTACACACTTGCACAACCCGAAAAAAAAAAAAATGCTTTTACTCATAGTCAGAGAAAATGCTGCATTTTCCTACTCAGCCAGTTCCTGATATATTTGCTCTCCCACTAAGTTTTACCTCCTATTTGTCATAGCATGGTAAAAAAGCTGAGATTTTTTGTCAGTGCGTTATATTTAGCTAAGGGAAAAGATCCAGGTGAGATGATCAGGAAGGAGACAGGAAGGAATGAGGGAGAAAAGGCCAGGGCTTGTGTTTAGAGGAGGCATGTGAGCTTTTTTTTTCTGAGCAGAGAGAGGTGAGGAGTGGAATGCAAAGGTAAGAGAACAATGAAGTGCTGTGTTTCCATGTGCGGCCGATAGAGCCCACCTCCAACACCTACTCTCCCCCACTTTACTGGTACATTCCTGATCAGTTTGCTGAGTAGGAGCCTCCCAGCATTACTCCAAAATCGTGGAATTCTCAGGAACGGTGGTGGAGGTGATGGGACAGGGTAAAGAAGGCCAGGTCCAGGTCAAGCCCTCATATTAAAACCACTAAACAAAGAGAACCCCCCTAAAAACGCACACACACACACATAGCCCACCTTCCTAAAAAAAAGTCAACCAGGAAGAAGGCCGATGACAGGTCCGAGATGCATGAGGACGTGTGCAGATTTAGATGGAAATGAATCACAGGGCTGCAGCGCGGAGCCAGGATGAATGGTTCCGAGGGCTTAAAGAGGAATATCCTACAGACACGTTGTTAATCATTCTCCCCACTTCTTTCCTGAGTGGATTGCTGCTGTGGGTAGAACAACCACAAAAACTTCAACTGTGGTGTTTTTTCTCCATATTTAAGTTGAAATTTTCCATGTTCTGCCATGTTTTAACTCAATTTTATAACTCGTCTTCCCAGTGGGACCTGTTAAAGTAAAGATCTGTGACTTCATCTGGTTTCTGTCTCCGTCTCCTCATAGGCTCTCTCTGTGTGGTGGTAGTTATGGCAGAAGGAATACTTGTGCCTCTTTCTGGGGTACTATTTTCTTTCTTTTTCCTTAAATGCTTTGTTTAAGGGAATTTTCTTCCGTCTCTGCTTCTCTGTGTTCACACTATCTGTTACCATTGGGCCAGAAGTCAGGGAAGATAAAACATTTACTGCTCTGCGAAGACGTGTAAGAATCTTGCAGGTTGTAAATCATAACAAGTGGCAGCAAAGAGGCACAAAAAGGGTCTTTTGTTCTCTAAAACAGGGTTACAAATGGTTTATTTTTAAGCACAGTGCTTGTATAATTGATGAAGATGCTTAAAAATAAATATAATTACATTTTATTTCCATTGTATGTGCTATACCAAAAGCAATGTAGTGCATAATTTGGACTGCGAAGGTTTTCAAGCTATTTACCCACCAAAAAATTTGTTTTTTTATGTATGCATCCAGCCACAATTTCCTCTGATACCAAATAAAATCTTGAGGGATTTTCTGAGTAAATATAATAAATAAACTGATGATGAGTCAGGAACGGGTCTAGGAGCGGTAAATGTAGAAAGACTGTGTTGTTCGGGCCCTATCAAAGCACACAGTTCCTATGGTGAAACAGGGTGATGGCAGCATCATGCATCGTGGATGCTTTTAGCTGGGACGGGGGAGCTGTTAGATGGGAAGAAGAATAGAGCAAAATTCCCCTCGGAAGAGTACAGAAAGACCTCAAATCTAGCACCACCGATGCTATAGAATGGTGTAGATCAGCTGACACAAGACATTTATTTTAGCTTTTTAAAAAAAAAAACCAAAGGTTTAATTTGACCTCACATTTATGGGTTATTTAATGTTGGTCACATGAAATGCAATAAAGTGTATGAGTATTGACTGGGAAGTTCTAACCTTTTGGGTCAGTTAATTACCACTGTTTTACATGTTTTACTCATTCTTTCCTCATCTGTATTGCTGTAACATATTCTGAAACCACTTTACAATAAGCATTCCAATATAAAATAAATATTTTTTTAGATATGTTATAAGAGAATCTATAAACTCTTTAAAACTCATTACTTACTCGTTCCTTTCTTAGGTTTGTTATGCATTTAACATGGTGTGCATGCTCAGAAATTATGTTTTGCAAATGCTTAATGTGATTGAAATGTTGTAGCTTAGTCTGAGTGTAGATTATGCTTATTGTTTGGCAAGGAACTGGTTTCATGTCCTGCTCACCCTTGATTAATGCACAATAAACACTTTTAAATGAGTTATAACATGTTTAGAAAGAGATTCCCTAATGTGAATCTGGCATCTACTTTAAAACCTCTTGTACAATTAAACATGTTTTTTTCATAGAGCAACTTTAAATAATTTCATCCAGTTACTCAATCCATGATCTTTTTTAGCCTCCATCCAGCTTGGGAATAATGATTGTCTCCTCTGGCTGGATCTGCAGCAGCTGATCCTCTGCGTACTTTTTGTTAAACTGTCTCGAGCCACACCTTGTCAGCTACCCTAAGGCATCAGCAAACAG